ATCATATTACTCACAGTCAAAAATGGACACAAGAAATATTTAGAAGAAAATTAAAAATGACAACCAACTGGTTGATTCTACCAGGAAGATGTCACAAAAGAATTGTCTGTCAGGGACAGCTAGGTAACACAGTAGAGCGAGCTCTGGCCTTGGAGTCAGGAACCTGAGTTCAAATCTGGCCTCAGACCTGTAACTCGCTGTGTGACTCTGGGCAAGTCACTTAACCCCAACTGTCTCACCAAAAAAAAAAAATTATCTGTCATATACATTCTGAAAAATGACTATGACTGACTTGTCTGACAGGAAGCATAGTTGATAAATGTTAATTTTGGTTTTCTTTTTCACTGCTAGAAACTTTGAATTTAATTGGGGGCAGAGGTCATTACAACAAAACTTCAGTAGGCGTAAGGAAGGAATGTGGATATTCCCCCCACCTTGAAATTCACTACAAGAGAAATCTTTATGTGGCTTTCTTCTCCTCACCTCTCTATGTCAACCAAAGCCAAGGTCCCCCTTGACTTATCAGTAATAATTTGGGCTAGGATACATTTCCCAGTCCTTTCTTTCCCTATCCACCAAAGGTAACGAAGCTTTAGAAGTCTTATTTCTGTGGCCCTCTCTGAATGTCAGAACATAGAAGTGCTCAGAGGTACAGGAACCAAACTGCAGTACTACTGAAAAAAAACGCTTTTCCAAGTTTGGCCAAGAAGAAGAAGTAAAGGATCAGAGGATACCAAGGCAACCAAAGGGATGAAAAAGAAGGCGAATGGGGCTGGTTTATTCCTTAAGGGAGGTGGCAAATTTCAGTGACTGTGTTGTGGGTGTGAATGAAATTCAACTACACTTCCTTCATGTCTTTGTGTTCTAACTCCAGCATCAGTAAATCATGTATGTGAACTTGAGAAAGTCTTTTACCTTCTCTGGGCCTCAGTTTCCCGCTCTACAAAATGAGACAGTTGGACTCAATGAGCTCTAAAATTATGGCCCTACACTGCTTTCATTGTACACTGGGATGGATTGCACTTTGGAGGACACCGCGGAAAGGCAGGCTGAACTTGAATTTCAAGCATTTTCTGTTGTTAAAATTTGATCCATCTCGGAAATCAATTTTACATTAAAAAAAATCTAGATGTGAGGAAAATAACTTTGCCCAGTGAAATCCCTGTTGGGTAAATATGTTGCTCTTTTTTTTTCCTAGTGAGAAGGCCCAAAGCAAGAGCAACATGGCCCAAATCAAAGGACTTTGTGATCTGTATCGTGAACACAACTGTTCCAATGTGGAATGACTTGTGGCAGGCCATTTGCTAACTGAAAATGTGTTAGTATCAAGTTTATAACTGTAGCCCTGTAGAAAGTTATGGCTGGATAAATCAGATGGAAATTTAATAGATAGCAGTATTAGCTGCCAAATTGAACACAGGTGATTTGTACATCTGAACTATTACCAGAAAGCTAGATGCCAGGTTTGTGTTTAATGCAAGGTTTGTCCTTTCCAGGAGGGCTCCAGTGCTTAGCTATGCTTTTCAGTGCCAGTTTAGAGTGAGTCATTCATGCTTTGACAAATATCAACAGCATTTAAAATACTGCTCATTTTCCTATCATCTATGAAGATGAAATTCTTCTCTAAGATGCACAGCATTCCATTTAAAAATAACTTAATTAAGGCTGCTATAAATTGGTTATTTCTTCTAATTCTTGACTGGAGCACAAACTAATTTCTTGGAACATAAGAAGCTTATGAAGTTTAGTAATGAGCCAAATCCGTGTAGAAGGTTGAGCTCCCCTTCTCCCCTCTTCCCCTGCCAATCCCCCATTCAACATGCTAAACTATGGTTTAGGCCAACACAAAAATGACACCGACTTCTAAAGTGTTCCTGATTATATCATCCCAATCATGATTTTGTTTTTCTTTTCATTTTTCACCCTAAGAAATTCAAACAGTTCGGTTGATCCTCATCCAAGTTTCAGAAATGTGGTGCAAAAAAGGAAATAAAGGATTACTTGACATACCTTTTATTAATATGTCATCCCAGTGGAGATAAAAGTGTATACTTAATGCCCTCAGCTGGGTTCTATCAGGCTCCAGAAGAAGAGAAAAAGTCACTTGTGAATGCAGTGATGGAAGGAACCCTGAGTTCACCTTACTAGGAAATTGTGAGCGTATGCCTCAGTAATTACAGCCACATTTGCTCCCTACGTGTTTTAATTGCTCCTCTAGGAAAAAAGAAAGAAAGAAAGAAAATCAAAACTTTTGGACTTGAAACTATAGCTGAAGAACGACATTAGGATTTGATAATGAAAAGGCTCTTCAGTCTTTGTTTTCACTGCTGAACACAATTATGCAAATAAAATCAAACTAATAAGACCAATTAAAGTGAGCAACAGAAAAAAAAAAACGAGTCAAAGAAAGATACGAAACCAAGAAAAGTTATGGAAGTGTGATTTAGGGCAATCAGATTTTTTAAATGACCATCAGCTATCCCCTAACTCTATCTACTTTGGCTAGACATAAGGAATCCAGATACTTTCTGGACTAAATACTCTGAAGGCCACCTCTCTTGGTGTCCAGATGCCTAAAATATTCATAAAGGCTTAAGCCTATTTTATATAAAAATAATTTTAATCGGTGACTAGAAAGCTCCTCTTCCCCTGCCCTGCTCCCAAATCCTATGGCCACACTATGGGTTGTTATAAAGTCTGTACCTACATGTGTCTGCATCTTTTAAAAGCCTAAGTTAACTGGCTCTTGGTCAAGGCCTTTCCTTTTTCTTCCCAGCTGTCTTCATGACTGATCTCTGCCCAATCAACTGGATCAGCAAGGCAATTTAAATCAGTTGCAATGATGGCTCCCAAACACCAGATCTGCCGTTTTTCCACACAGTGTTTTTCATCAATATAGACCCAGCATTCAAATATGAAAACAAATTGAGTAATCTGGAATATAGAATTACGTCCTTGGAACTGTTTGCACTTAAAAAAAAATTGACTCTTGAACATTTTAGTGTGCTGAGATGGTATAGTGGATAATGAATTGAATTTTAAGAAGAAATATAAAGGTTTTAATTAAAGGAAAGAAATACTCAGAAACCATGGGATCTTTCAAAGTGGTAAAAAAAAAATTCATTATGGGGAAATATGCAGTTCCAAACTCCATATCCATTTCCTACTCCCTACATTTTGTCTTCACTAGCCTATGAATTTTATTCCGTTATGCACTTTAAGTCAGAAGACTAACTCGTGAAGTTAGAGACTACTTATGGTTGTTTCAAAACCATTTCTTCCAAGGTGGAATTATTTTTAGCAAGAAAATACCACCACTTCCATTATGCTAGCATATCTGAAATACAAATACCTCTCCCAACCCAATAACATAGTTATATTTTGTAAACAAATAAGATAACAACATGTAAAGCTCTTCGCAAACCTTAAGATGCTATATAAATGCTAGCTATTGTTGTTGTTAAAACTGCAGAGTTACTTGTCAGCCCCTTTAGGTGCTGATATGCTGAAAACACTTGCCCACTTGGCATCTCAAAAACAAGGGGCTAGGATGAACACAATTAGAAGACTGCTCTGCGAAGAAGAAAGAGTCTGATAATCTTGCTAATAATCCTCTTCTGAGATACCACTGCTTGTAAAGTGCTTTACAGACCTTTAAAACGCTATATGAATGTTAACTACTACAATAATTATTAGCACTAGTGTATTCCATTCAAATCAATGAGAAATAAGTCCTCATTTAAAACTCTTACTGGTGTTTCTTTGGGGGCTTTTAATTTTATTTTTTTGAGCTTGAGGAGTTGAGAAAAACGACCTAAAATACTCACAAAGCAACTGAGTCTTCCGTGTTGGGACGCGACGAGGTGAGCAGTGGGTGTGCAAGAGACTGAGCCTCGCTGAGAGCTGGGGGGCCTGGGGAAGGAAACAGGGATGACCAATGGGACAAGGAAAAAGCCCAGAGTACTGGGCGCTCGTGGGGGGGGGGGCGGGTCTTAGCCCCAAGGCTCCAGAGGGCGGGGGATTTGTATTCTTCTGATGCTTGGTCTAGAGTGGGGGCCCGGGTTGGGGTAGGGGCTGCAGTGGGCCAGAGCTCAGCGCTGTGAACCCCGCCATTCCAGCACCACCACTCCCCACTCCCCCAGCCACGAGGAGACCCGGGGCGGGGGGGGGGGGAGGTTCGACGATCCGCTTCGGTTGGGCCCCCTCCCATCCTGCCCCGGGCCCAGCGGCTAGGGAGGTTGAGGGCGCTCTGCATCCCCTCCCCCACCCCGGCCTAGGCACGAGGAGCTCGGCCCTCGAGCATCTGCTCCACCTGCTCCTGGCTCCCGAGGCCCTGCCTGAGCTAAAACCCCGACTCTACGACTTACTAGCTTAGCTGAGTGACCTGGGGCTCCTCTCGGCGCCTCAGCTTGCCCCTAAAGGCCCCGGGCCCCTCCCAGCTCCAAAGGTCGGCCACCCAAGGCCCAGGCCTGCGGGCAGAGCAGAGGGGCTCAGCGGGGGAGGTACGTGGGGCCCGAGAACGCCCTCCCCAGGCTCTAGAGCCCGGGAGGTGGTAGGCCTCAGCACCTGAAGGGAAATGGTCAAGCCCCGGAGGCCTGCAGCGGCGTGCTCGGGGCAGCCAAGCCCGCCACGGGGGACACGGACACGCGTGCGCGGGGAAGGCCTCGGACGGGTCGAACCAGAACCCAGAAAAGCGGCGCCCTGAGCCCGAGCCTGGGACAACTTCGGGGGGGGGGGGAGAAAGCCGCAGCTGCGGCGGCGGATGCTGGGGAGGAGGAGAAGGCGGAGGTGGCCAGAAACCCTCCGGCCGGACAGGAGCTGGCTGCAGCTGCGCACAGGGCAGTCCCACCCCCTGGAGGGGGCGGCCTGTCTGTCTCCCATAGGGGCCCACGGGGCAGATGCTCTCCGCGGCCCCGGGAGCACATGGAGAGCCGGTGGGGGACTGCAGTGGCCTTGGGGAGGACTCCAGGATGCGTGCCCTACCCGCGCTCCGTAGGCGCCTGATACAAAGTCCCGTTCACCCCCGGCCTAGTTCTACTCTTCTGTTGAACTGACTCGGGACTAGGGCGGAGTCTAGCCGGCCCCACCAGGCTCTCTGTCTAGTCTTTGAAACCCCCCCCACCCCGCCCGAATGAGAAAGGGGGAGGAGGGGAAAAACTGGAGTAGGAGAAAAGGAGATGGATTTGGAGTCATAGGCCCTGGGTTCTAACTACATATATGTATGTATATGATTTATATATATGATTTTATACACACACACATCACTTACTGCCTCTTGTGATCTTGGGAAAATTCCTTCCCGCTCCTAGCCTCAGTTTCCCCCTCTGTAGGGGTTTGGCCTTTATGATCACCAAAGCTCCTTCCGGCTCTGACTTCCTGTGGATTCTCATCCCTTCCTCACACATAAAGTTCCACCTTCCAAGAGGGAAATCATTCCTAAGGCCATCCCCGAGAAAACATTGGGTCACAACATGTAAGGCACTCATAGACACACACTTTCTCTACACTGCTTCTACAAGCTCGCTCACCCGTCCCCACCCAGCTGTGGATCTGTCTCCCTCCTCTCCAGGGCACAGAAACCCCCATTCATTCATAAATAATTGCCCCGCACATTACTGAAGTAGAAAAATAGTTACAAATGCCTTTGTTTTCCTTGGGAAGTGATCAGATTTGGGGTGGAGGGCGGTAATTGCCTGTCTGATCAAGAACCATTTCCTTCACGGTTAACCAAACATCCAGCCTGCTTCTTCTGCGAAGTCTTAAATATCACCAAAAGTGAACAGCCCCAATTACAACAGGAAACACATTTCCCAACATGAAACGAGGAACAGAAACAGATTTGTGTCTTCGTGGCTCAGTACTCGGGTCCTACAAGGAGCTCCACAGTCTTCAGCGTCCTGTCTGTTTCCATCTTCTGTCTTTTCTCCTTTCTTAAAGGAAAACTATTACTCTTTCTCCAGCTTTTGTTTTCTCTGTCACCCTCTCTTTTTGTTTCGTCTATCCTCCTCACTCTTCCCTGCGTCTTCTTTTCTATCTTTTTCCTTCTCTCTTCTGTTCCTCTCCTCCTTGCTGAAAGATACTTTTATGCATTCCCTTCCAAGCGGCTGTACACTTGAGATGGAAATACAATGAAAAGGAAAGTTAAGATTTGAAGAGGGAGAGGGCTTTCCTTTTCCCCCTCTAGAAAAGGGGACCATGAGCCCCTGTGGACAACAGATAAGTGTTGAGTTCATATTTTGTAGGCTGTGGATTTTGAACTCCAGGAATTATGCCCTATTTAAAAGCAACCTTAAGAGATTACCATAAATAACACTTATTAAGATGGTGATTTTTTTTTCTTTTCGTTCAGATTTAGGATTTGGCTGGTGTAAGGAACTCTAGTGAAGACTCTAACTACAGGCAGATCAGCAACTGGTCCTTAACTTTTCATTTTAGAGAATGCCTGGAGGCACTGATAGGTTTGCGAGTTGGCTGGTATGGTTAGGCCAGGTGTTCCTGACTTCGAGATTTGCTTTCTATCCACTTCCTTCCACCCAATAATATTACTATGTTAATTGATAATAGCTCACATCTTCCTCGAGCTTTAAGGTTTACAAAGTGCTTCCCCCACAATGATGCTGTGCCAGTATTTCTCTCCCTATTTTACAGAGGAGGAAAACTTAGGCCCATAGAGAGGGACTGGCTTGTCCAGAATCAACTCAAGTTTTGTGGCCAACGTTAAATTTTCCCAGTGTAGCTTCTTGATTTTTGGAAAGACACTTTAACTATCTCATCAAAAAATAGCTGGGCCCATAGGGCCCCGGGTCCCGGGATTGACTGTTAGGGCGCCTCAATGGAGGCTGGGGGAGTGCTGGGACGCCCCCTCTCCGGAAAGCAGACGCGGTATTCAGCCCTTCCGTGGAATGTCCCCAGCCGGTTCTGGAAGGGAGGAGTGCTCACGTCGGCCCACGGCCAGATGGCTTGAGTTAAGCCGCAAGGCAGATCCTGTATCTCTTACAGGGTATCTAGTTAGGCCGCAGCACAAATTGCTGACGATTTCTTCCAATTACGCCGCACTAATCCAAGGTCTTTCTTCCGCAGCCCTCTCTGGCTTTTCAAGTCCCTCCCGTCCAAGGGCATGGAGGAAAGGCATTTGAGCGCTGGCCCCAAGCAGCTCCCGAGAGGACAACACAGTTGTCCACATTCCGCAGCCCGGGGTCCAAAAACTGCAGAGCCTCCAGGCGCTCCTGAGTTGTTCTCTTCTAGAGGGGAAAACAAAACAAAAAAAGCCCACCCTGGCTTTCTGCCTCCGGGTCACGGCATCTTGTTGCTGGTTTTTTGTTTTCCTGGAAAATACAAATACCACAAGTTTCCCCCGGAGAAATGGGAATCCTTGGAAACCAGCTTGGAAGTCATTGCGACTCCAGCTGTGACCCCACTGGAAAAGAAGAGCGAGAGATTGCGGTTGCGGTGGCAAGAGTCCTGTGGGCTGGAGATGGGACCTGGCTTCCCATTTTGGCTTGGCCTCTGAGGCGCTCTATAGCTGCGCTGACCTGGATGCAGTCCCTGCACATTCACTAATAATAATAGCTAGCACTTATAGAGTGCTTTGAGGGTTAGTCTCTAGGCTAAGTTTCCTCGACTTTAAAATGAGGGAGTTGGACTTAGCTGACCTCGCAGGGCCCTTTCCAGCTCCGAATCCTCTTAGGGTTGACAGCTATCTAAATTGTCCCACGCTGCCAGAATTCCTCGGGAAATTAATTATTAGATCCTCCACTTGGCGGGAGGAAAGTTTGTTGTGCAAGGTCACTGCTACTATTTGAGGATCCAGGGCTCCTTTCCTGATTCATTTTGGGTGGAGGGGAGCCACTGTCTTCGGCTGGCCAGAGAGCAACGGGGGACCACTGCTGGGGCCGGCAGTTCCTGGAGGGCGGCACTCAGGACCTGAGCGAGGAGGTTAGACACAAGTCCCTTCCCCTCCCCCCAGAAAAAGTGCTAGTGGATAGTGGCGAGGGGAGAGGAGAGAGAAGGTGGGGGGCAAGCGGGGCTCTAAGGGCAGTATTAGACTCACCTTTTAAAGTGAATTCAGCATCGGCTCCAAGGCAATTCTTTCCCGAAGTTGTGGTTGGGCCGGGGCAAAAGAGGGAAGTTTGAAAGCGCTGGGAAAGAGTCTGGAAAGACTGCCTGCCTCCTGCCTCCTGCCTCCTGCCTCCTGCCTCCTGCCACCTGCACAGAAGCTGAGGCCAGTCTTTGACCCATAGTCTGCTTAGCCTGTGCCCTTGGGCCACTACGGGAAAGGGGGCCGCTGACCTGCAGCTGAAGTACATCAAGTCCCCCAGAACAAGCCTGGGGCTTGGCCAATTCTACAAGTCAGGCAGAGGCCAGGCCGGGAAGGGGGGTTGGTGGCATGGTGGGGTAGAGAGGATGGCTAGAAAGTCTGAGACCTCATTGAGGACAAAACTAGAATGCTGGGCTTTCATTTCCTACCAAACCCAAGAAGTGATGATGCTAATAATTGCTCCCATTTCCTTCCCCACAGCTTTTCCACCCCTGCCCTAGCCCATCAGAGCTGACAGAGGTACTTTTCTCACAAACAGCCTCATGAGCTGGGTGGTGCAAGAGCCCTGGGTGGCATCTGAGGCTCAGAGAGGGGAGGCCATCTGCCCACAGTCACACATGGGTCTCTGGTGGCCAGAATCCTTGTAATCTTGGTGGCAGGAGGGCTTCACTTAGTTCATCTACCCTTCACACACTGACCAGACCATGCTGTGGGCATGCTTATGGAAAGCATGTGCCTCCAGAGAAGGACCTTTCCTAACATGACTCTAGTTCCTGGGAGTTGTGAGGAAAGCTCTTTGGAAACTGGCAAGCACTACATAAATGAGAGAGGTTTGGAATAATAATATTTGTCAAAATACAGAGGCAGTGAGGCTGGCCTCAAAGCCTGGCTTCAAATTTTCTGCCATGTATTTGACTGTGTGGCCCCAGGCCCAATGCCGTCTGCAATCTCTAAAGACGATGGATGGCAGTCCTCTTCTCTAGGACTGATGGGCAATTATAATTAGTCAGAAGTTGGATTCCTTTGAGTGATTTTTTTCGTGAACACTAATCATTGTTCTCCCAGTCCTGCTTGCTTCATTGTATCAGTTTCTATGATTTCCCTTGTCTTCAATCCTTAAACTGTTATAGAAGATGGACTGACCTCCCTCTTCCCTCCCCCATTCCATCTTCCCACTATCCACATACACAGAAATGAAATGGTAGCTTTCAAATTTCTTTTGGGCAGGAGAGGCTTATTAAAAGTTTCTAGAGACACAGTAAGGGGCAGGTAGGTGGAACTGCAGTGGATGGAGTGCCCTGTCTAGAGTCAGGAAGACCTGAGTTCAAATCCAGCCTCAGACACTAGCTGTGTGACCCTGGGCAAGTCATTTCACCCTGTTTGCCTCAGTTTCCTCATCTGTAAAATGAACTGCAGAAGGAAATGGCAAACCACTAGAGTTCTTTGCCAAGAAAACCCCAAATGGGGTCACAGAGAATCGGACATGACTGAACAACAGAGACATAGTAACTCATCCCTCCCTATATATGCAGAGACTCACAGAGTTAGAGCTGGAAGGGACCTTGAACATCATCTAACCTAACCCCCATTATTCACTGGTGAGAAAAGTGCATCCCAAAGAGGAGAAGCAACTCCAGACATGTCACCAGAACGACAGTAACTGTCTTTTAAGTTCAAGAATCAGTTATCTAGAGAAACAGTCAGAGGTCTATTTCATAGTAATGGCTCTGGGCTTCCAACCTAAATGCTGATCCCTGGGTGGAAAACCTAAGGTTGGAGTAGCAGTAGTTAGGAGAAAAGCACTGATCCTGGTGTCATAGGACCTGTGATCAAATCCTGACTGTGCCATATACTAATTATGACCTTGGGCAAGTCTCTTCTCTCTGAGCCTCAATTTCCTTCACCAAAAAAAAAAAAAACCAAGGGAAGTTATAGTGGATGGTCTAAGGGCCCTTCTAGGAT